ATTCCGCTGTGCTGTTCCCCAGCCCATGATGATGATGATGCAAATGTGTTGTTGCTGTTTTTCTCGTTGGTTTACTTGTTGCATTGTGCACATTGCATCTATGCTGCTGGTTGTTGCCACTTTCATCATTGCTAGATCCTAGGCTGTTAGTGCATTTCACTTTCTGATATGCTACAAGTGGTATCGGAGCTTGTGCGATGAATCTTGGCAACAACCAACCAATCAATCGATTGATTGATTGGATTGGCGGTCTGCCACCAATCAAACTTCGATTGATTGATTGATTGATTGATTGATTGATTGATTAATTAGGTTGATTGATTATTTGGCAATTGTGTATTTAATCTTGGAAATTCCCGGAATTAATTATTATTTCTTTTTCCGAGAAATTTTTTTCCGAGAAATTAATTCTTTTTCCGAGAAAATTTTTTCCGAGAAATTATTTCTTTTTCCGAGAAAATTTTTTTCCGAGAAATTATTTCTTTTTCCGAGAAAATTTTTCTTCCGAGAATTTATTTTTTTTCCGAGCAATTATTTCTTTTCCGAGAAAATTCTTTTCAAGAAATTATTTCTTTCTTTTCGAGGAAATTCGTTCTGAGAATTCTTTTTCCGAAAAATTATTTTTATTACCTTATTTAATTGTTAAATGTCTGCAGTTGACAAATTGGATTTTTTTCCGATAATGTCCCTCTACACTTTCACTGCGTAGGTTTGCAAATTCCGTTCTTTTTTTTCAAAAAAAAAAAAAAAAAACGGCATTTTTTTTTCTTTTGCAACCTACTCCTACTCTGAGCTGTAAAGATACTTCTCTTCTGTTTCTGCCAGTTTGAGCACCAAAGGGTTACTATAGCGTTCTGCATCACCTTCGGCACTCAGTGGTATTGGACAGTCTTTTCGTTTCGAATTTTGATTTATTTAAATTCTTTCTTAATTATTATTCTTTGCTTGATTAGGGAACTGTTCAATTTGGGATYTGTCMKWCCCTTCCCACCTGTCTGCCCCTACCTGTTCCTCCCCCTCCAGTCCGGGCACTGGGCCAGTCCGTCAGATTGGCCCTCGAGTGACTCTTCAGACTTCGGGCACAGCAGTGCATGACACTGCTCACTCGATCACAGACCAAGGCCATGGACCGGAAGGCGGGGGAATCCATCCTGAGCTATGAGGAACGCCTAGCGGCATTCATTCAAGAGGCCAACGATAGGGCCGCCGCAGCGGCCAAGGAACGTCAGCAGCTTGAACAAGAGGAGGAGGCCAAGCGACAGAAGGAGGAACAGGACCAACTTCGTCAAGAGGAGGCAGACCTGCAGGCGGCAGCTGAACACCGGTCACGCCAGCGGGAACGACTGTTCACACAGGAGACCGTGATCGGCGATGAGGCCGCACGTTGGGTGGAAATGGCATCTACAGACGAGGCCCCGGAGACTGAGAAAGGGCTGTCAGCCCTTGCACAGGTCTCCCACGACCTCGTGGCCACCTGCGCTCTGCGGCATGAGGAAATCCTTCACCTGCAGCAGACAGTGGACCAGATGCTCGCACGGCTGCAGGCGTTGGAAAAACAGCCAGCAGCTGTAGCAGCCGCAGGGCCTGCAAACCTTGCGACCCGTGTTCGAGTCTTGGAGGACGACGTCGGCAATATCAAGCGTGTGCATCAGGACTTCAGGACGTCGCAGCAAGCAACGAACTTGCATTTGGAGACGCAGGTCCAGGCGGCTGCCACCGTGACGCCCGCCGCCGCATCCTCCAGGCGCCCACCCAAGCTAGATGACATTCCAGTCTTCTGCGATCAGTCCAAGACGGAACCGATCCCGT